TTTGCTCACAACTAGGAATAGACAGGATTGGTAATTTTCAGAGGGAGAAAAATTGTTCGTCAGGAACAATAAGAAAGAAGGCAATACATTGCCCCTCTGTACTTAAGAAAACCTTGAAAAAGGGATATGGACGGATAAAGGAGATTTTCCAGATCACGAATATATATAATTATTGCAGCCGGCAACTTATAGTTTTCGAGATATTTGCATTTTAAGTTGAAAATTTCACAAATTTTATTTTACAAATTCTCGATTTATGGTTAACTTTTCTTTTATATTATGAACTTATTACACACTAACACTTCACTGCAATGATTCTATATATTTATTTTGTATTAAATATTTGCTTTAAATAAGCATTTTATTTTTACACAATTTTCGTAATATGAACAATAACAAATGAGTTCCATGTTGTCAGATAATAACTGTTCCCATACCCAAACGAATGAAAGCAATCAAAATAAATAAAAAAAAACCCAATCACCCTCTACAAAATATTATGAACTTAATTTACCATTTTAATAAAAGAAAAAGGTTGTATGGCTTAAACGTATGTTTTGTTGCATCTGATAATTTTACAAATGGATAATGATGCTGATTTGCTATATTTTTACGCCATATGTATTCATGTATCAAATTTTCAAAATGTTCAGTTATTACAATTATCCTTAATAAAAATTGTTTATAGAGAGTAATATACCCTCTTTAACATTACTTTTTTTTTTGTTAAGATTTCTTATTTGTACCGCGCTTCAAAAAAATAACCCTGGTCGGGGTGTTCATAATTCAATCGTGTCAAAGTTTTTTCCGCACTGGCGGCCTTAGGCCGCGCTTCAAAAAAATAACCCTGGCCAATCTAATACCATAATTTATCAATAGAAGGGAATGAACAATATTATAGTTTATATATTTGGGCATAATCCTCTTTTATTGTTCATTTTAATTCGCTTTCAAAATATATATATATATATATATATAATGAATATGGCAACACTTGTTAACTGCCAACATGGAACTCATTTGTTATTGTTCATATAACGAAAATTGTGTAAAAATTAAATGTTTATTTAAAGCAAATACTTAAATATTTAATATAAAAGAAATATGTAGAAACATTGAAGTGAAAAGTTAGTGAATAATAAGTGCATAATATAAAAGAAAAGATAACCATACATCGAGAAACCGTAAAATAAACTTTGTGAAATTTTCAACTTAAAATGCAAATATCTCGAAAACTATAAGTTTCCGGCGGCAATAATATGAAATATATTCGTGATCTGGAGAATCTCCTCTATCCAGCCATACCCCTCTTAACCCTGAAATCGTGAGATGCTAAACTAAAATCCACCCTTTTTATTCTTCATTTAACCTTGTTTAACTATGTATTTTCTGTTCTCGTTTTTACTAATTTCGATTAATAAATAGGGAAAACTTTAGTATAACGTCCCAGGCTTTCGGGGATAAAATAGGTATGGGCGGATAGAGGAGATCCTCCAGATCAAGAATATATATAGATATAGCCGCGGAAAACTTATAGTTTTCGAGATATTTGAATTTAAAGTTCAAAATTTCGACTATTTAAAGTACGCATTTTTTTCATTTCAAATGAGTTATACACTTATATTTTACACTTTTATATCCACTAACACTTCACTAATTCGTTTGTACACATTTATTTTACATTATATAATGCAAAAATAGTTTAATTCAAAAATTAAATTATTGTTAAGTTCTATTAATTCTGACAACAACAAAAGGGTTGCAAAATTTCAAATAACCAGTGTTACCTTATCGACATTTTTGTAACTGAACTAAGAGAAATGAAAACAGATTATACCCCAATTAAAATTTGTTGAAATTCCACTCATTTTTAAAATAAAAACTTGAATAATAACTTTTATAATTTATCCTTTTCCACAATTTAAGCACAACTCACTAAACGCGTTTGAATTTTATTTGCCAAATATGAAGTAAATAGCAAATGGAAAAAACGAAACGGTACTTTTCTTCAAAAGTAACAGTATTAATATCCGTTAGAGAGCATTGATGTTAAAGATTATGTTATATCCTCTATGACAATATTACTTTTTCGCGTAGAACTCCTTTTTGCGTTGGGGGCCTTCGGCCGCGCCTCAGAAAAAATAACCCTGGTCGATCCAACACCAGGGTGTACCAAGGTCTTTTCGCGTGGAACTCCTTTTTGCGTTGGCGGCCTTCGGCCGCGCTTCAAAAAAAATAACCCTGGACGATTCAACACCAGGGTGTACCAAGGTCTTTTCGCGTGGAACTCCTTTTTGTATTGGCGGCCTTCGGCCGCGCTTAAAAAAAAAATAACCCTGGTCGGTCCAACACCTGGGTTTATCAAAAGAAGGAAACTAAAAGATTTATTAGTGTCCATCAACAATTATGATTCCTGTATTTAGTATAATCTTTTTATTTTATTTTTCTTCGTTTGCAAAATAAATTAGTATGGCAACACTGATTATTTGACATTTATAACCATCTTGCAGAGAATGTAAAATATAGAGAAGGTCCAACTACGGACCAGCGTGTGAATTGTCAAAACCTAACAAAATGCGATGAGGGTATTTCACCACAGTCGGCTCGGAAGGAGAAATTTTAACAGTGGCGCGTGAACAGAGCTGAGCATTGTATGAAAATTATGCTCAGAAGTTTGCATTGATATTACAGCCGCATGTTAGCTTATATTTTTATACGTTTATATGCAATCATATTCATAGATATGAAATTCATTTTCTGAATATCTATGATATCATAAAAATTTACTACATTTTAATTAAAATATGCTTCTTCAAAGGAATATTTGCAGTTGCTTTTTAGATATTGCTTATGTTTGATATTATGAAATGCTTTCATATAAGTACATATATATGCATATTTATGTATCTGCTATCTTTTACTATATACATACATACATAAGTATATAACACACTAACATAATATCTTAAAAATCTTAATATATTTAAATAGTAATATATGCAAATCACACCTTTCATGATTTAAAGCTTACTTACATACATATGTATGTACTTATGTAAGTAAAATTCAAATTCAAATCAAGTTATTATCATTTATCAGTAATAACATTTGCGCGCACTGCTCTATATGTACATACATACATATGTGTTTATGACATTGCCACACAAATGATAAATACACAAACCTATATTCATATATTCGTACACATGTAAATTTGTCACCCGCAAAAACTACAAACATTGTTTTATACAAACAACAATCGTCACAAGTCAATATGTCAGCCCAATAGGCGAAGCTCAAATTTATAGTAAATCAAACAACAACATCATTTTCATTCATGAACGCAGGCGTGCTTTTAACAAGCAACCTCGATTCATTCATAAAAACAGACACCCTCTCATCTTCCCGAGCATGCGTTTGCCTACAAGCTTCTTTTCGCGACGATGGCAAAAGCTAAAAATCATAAATTGAACAAATTTCTGATATTCCCTCTAGAAGGGAAAAGTTGCAACCCCGCAAACCCACAAAACACAGAAAAAATTGACAAAAGCGGCAACAAAGCTTTTGTCCATTTAAAATATTTTTCAATTTTAAAATATTTTTCAATTTTAAAACATTTTTCCATGACGAAAATCTCCGTCAATATGTATGCATGCTCATATATAAACATACATATTTACGATAGTTTGTGGGCAAAGCTGTTAGAGCGGCAAGGGAATCGGTGACAATCGGCGGCCGTTCGTTATTTTTTTCGGCATAGCTCGGTTTTTCTACCAACAACACAATGTTGTGACGCTTTGTCGTCGCGTCAGTCCTTCGACACAGTGACTCTTTGACAAGAAAACAAAAAACGTGAGCTTCGGCCATTGGTTGTCCGTGGCAACGGAGATTTCCCATGAAACCATGAGTGTACATATTTACATACAAATGTTGCATGTAGACAAATAAATAATTATAATGGGTACTTTCATATTTGTTTACATGCACACTTAATTAAATATATAATATGTATAAGAATATTTGCGACCGCTTGGTCTTTTCTTTAACAGGTTATGTCAAGCAAGAGGTGTGCAAAATCAAACCCAGAAATCTGACTGAACTGAAGCAGTCCATTAAATAGATATTGAGGCAATCCCGAATTAGGGGTCGCATATGCGTGGTTGAGTATGGAAGAATAATTAATTGTTTAAATAAATAAAATTTTCTATACAATAACAAAATTTAATGTAATGCATTGACTGAAAAGAAACTTATTGCGGTTTAATTTTGTAGCACGATTCGTTAGCCACCCTGTATAGGAAGAATATCTTCAAATTATATCCAAAGTCGTTTGCGCATTGTAAATATACGAATCTGTAAGCGTACATTCCTTAACATTGAAATTAGCATTATTTTTCTCAATTAACATTGAAAATGCTCAATTCTGCTATTTTTCAGTCCCCTGATGCTAATTGTGGACATTTGGTGAAATACCCTCATCGTTTTCAGTACCCCTTCGAAACGTGATATATTTTGCTAATGGCCGCACTGTGAACCTTCTCTATAATCTACATTCTCTGCATCTTGTTATTGTGAAAATCACAAAAATTGAATAATTAAAATATTGAAATAAAGCTATTTTTTATGATATAATATAAAAAAATGTGTAAAAACGAATTAGTGAAGTGTTAGTGGATATAAAAGTTAAAAATATAAGTGTATAATTCATTCTATAACGAAAAAATACGTACTTTAAATAGTCGAAGTTTTGAACTTTAAACTCAAATATCTCGAAAACCATAGGTTTCCCGCGTCTATATCTATATATATTATTGATCTGGAGGATCTCCTCTATCCGCCCATACCCATTTTATCCCCGAAAACGTGGGACGTTATTCTAAAACCGACCCCTTTAATATTTACAAAATATTCTCTTTTATCATCAGATACTTCCACAGACTTTTACAGATAAGAAAAATAAAATAAGAAATGGTGACATTACAACGTTCGCTCCGAATTACCTTTTCAATTTCTTCAACTAGTGCAATCATTTTTTCAGGTCCTGATAAGATACCATGAAGCAAAACCACCGGCTTGTATGCAGCCCCGTTCGATATTAATTCGAATAAAAACAATAAAAATAGTTTCATTATAGAATACTCTTCTCACAATTAAACGAGTCTGCTACACGTTCAATATAAATTCAACGCGATCCAGTATCCCGATATATATTGAAAGTGTAGCAGGCATTATTTATTTATTACGATCCACATCACAATATTTATATAAATATGTTGAAATCCGGTTCGCGGATCGCACATTAAACGTTCAAATTAAACACATCATCTAAGACATTTTGTATGTAAATTCACGATACGACAAAACAAAATATTGAAAATAATTTAAAAAATCCGAATTTTGTTTAATTGTATTATTTGTTTACACGTATATATAAATTCTACTCTTTTCAAAGATCCGGTGAATTCCTTACAATAGTAGCTGGAATTTTTTTGATTCCATGTTTCCATTGATTTTTTTTTGGTTTGAAACCATAACAACTCTTGTTCAGCCCATGTTATAAATAAACACCGAACAAAAAATTAAACAAATAATAAGGCAAAACTATTGTTTAATATATTTGTTTCAAAAACTCGATTTATTTCGAATTAATACTGACATTATTTATATCGAACGTGTAACATTCACTCCCTGTTCATTAAGCTTCAATATGCATTACGATTCATATATCACCATAAATATTGACCGTGTGACTAAGGATTTTGAAGTCAACATTAGCAATTGAGACTGCCACTGCTAACATATAAACTCGGCTGGCAACAGATATAGTCGCGATTATCGCTGTCAATATTACCAAAAGATACAGAATATTACAAATGATTGGCAGAATAATACTCCTAATATCCTGGTTGCCAGTAATCTAAAATTTTGGTACTTCATTTTTCAATTCTACAAATTATTTTGGACAGTAAAGTGGCAGTTTACACGCAGACTCTTTTGTAACCCAAACTGGTCTATTGCTGGCGAGGGGACGACGAGGAAAGACGAACCGACCGTGCCACTCGTGCTCGGGTGGCTTGCTTTGTGTTCTTGCTCGTAACAGCTCGCTGCTACCGTTTTCAGTATTCCTTTTCACTTTCAAATTCTTTGAACGGTTGCAAGAGCGCTCGGGTTCAAATGAATATATACCATTCGTTTAAAAATTTGAATTCTATTATCTATTTTTTATATGTAATATGCAAATATGTATGCATAGAATAATAAAAACATTTTGAAAATTTGTATATGAGGAAAATATTAAGATACTCAAAAATATACAATTTACATTTTTAATAACATATAGCGGTATTAAATGTAATAATATACCAGTATACATATAACAATTCTAATAAAAATGGTAATTTTACCTTCTTATATTAACATAAAATATTAAGATGCTTTCATATAAATCCCTTGCGGTTAGGATTTAGTTCGAATATCATTTTATTTAAAACAATAATTGTAATTAATTTAGGGATGTTTTATATTTAATATAAAGAGAGAAAAAGATTAGAAAATTCCGGTTAAAAATTTGGCATTGAAAATATTAGTAGGGGGTATTCAATACATTCTGGTGGATTAGGGAATTCCCGACTTAAGTATTTCTTTGAAATTATTAAGCGGTTAGGTATTATGCATATTGTTCTACCATATTCATGGTAATTCATTGCAAACAAAATGTGAGACCATCATCCCAACATACAAATGAAATATGCAACAAGCTCTAAGTGTTGCGCAGGCGAACCGCACAAATATTTTCGAAAATTTTATGAAAAGGAATGACAGAAAAACTCGATTTAAGTTGCTAGACTGTTTTTGCTCGTGTGTGTGCACAGAGCGACACCAAAAGAGAATTTGCCGAAAACGAGGGTCAAAAGAGTTTGTGTGTAAAAGCCCACTTAAGCCACCAGCGATTAAGTATAATATTAACCGGGTATTGAGAAAATGTCCCAAAACATAATTATGGCCATATATCGGCATTATAAAAATTTTAAATTATGAATAATTTTATGATAACTGACTAATATTTTTTTATTTCATTGCCATTGTAGCTAACAATAACAGCTGAGGCTTCAGTGTTGACATGGTGAGAAAGTCTTTTCATATGAGACTTGCTCTATCTGTGGATTGATGAGGCAACTGAGTCAATTCTTAGATCGCGTTCAAGATAATTTCTGCGAATATACCATAGCGCATTGGTAATTTTGGTCGTTCTGTTGGATAACTGAACTCTTTATTTCCAACTTACTCTTATTTATACAATTTTCTTATTTGCTTAGAGCTAATTCACAATAATGATTAATTCTTACAATAAGGAGAGTGTTAGTTACAATAGTAGCTTATTCAGTAATTGGTTTTATAGTTACTATTGTTTACATTTGGTGGGTGGTCTGAGCTAAACGAAAAAGCATATCAGTTACTAGAAAAAGCAAAGATGCTTATTAAGAGGCTGTATGATTGCTAAGTGCAAAGATACAGTTTTGTTTATAATTAGCGTAAAGCAGCTGTGTGGAGGCTGCCTCTAACTTGTATGAATAGAGGAGGTTCTCTTCCGCGGCATAAAAATTGCACGAGTTAATATCGTTTACACCATATGAGTAATTAAAAATATATTTTAGAGCTGCACCGAAATTCTTAAGACGAACATGTTTACTAATTACTAGTTGTTAGTTGTTTACACATAGCCTATTGTTTGTATATATTTTCATTTCATCATTCTAAGATAATGTTGTTTTGATACATTATGTTCATTTAGAGATAAGCTTGTTTTGATATATTTTCTTTACTGAAAATAAGGTTATTTTGATGTTTGTTTGTTAATGTTAATACGTTCCTTAACTCGGGTTCAGTGTTCTCACGCTGAACGTAAGTTTTTCGCGGTTTACTTCATGCGAATATCAATGCCATGAAGCCGAAGGAAATCGGACACGCAGAAAGTCACATACGCAGCAGTGAGCAGCTTCGCCTTAGGTTTAGTTTTAAGTTTAATTAGATTTAAGTACTCAGTTCTGTTAAGGAACTCACCAGGTGCAACTCACTAATAAAAACAAAAACAAAAAAAATTGTAAGAATGTTAACATATTGGGAAAAAATTAATTGAAGACGATATAAACAACTTCATTTAAATCATTTTCCAAATATCGAATTTTTGCGAAGCAATTTCATTCATTCTAATAATCCTATGAGTAATAGGAAACTAGAAGAGATTAAAAAAATTACCCATAAAAACAAATAATTTTAAGCTAGATGATTACAAAAATTGGTGGTCCGATCAAAGCCTAATAAAGAAAATGTCGTTCAGAGAATCTGAAATCAAAGCGCTTATAGAGTTTGCAGTTAACACTGCATTTACAAATCAGGCTCAAAGTTTTGAACAAAAACTGAAAGATATAGAGAGTCGTTTTGCAAAAACATCGGAAACGGTACTCGAGATAGAACTATTTAGAGATGCTGAGATAATACCAGGTGTGAGTTGCGAAGAGACTTTAGACGTAGGGAAGTCAGTACCTTTGAGGGAAAACATGCGACGTATGTCTCATGGCGTTAGGCTGCTCACACAGCCTATAAAGTGTTTGAGAGTTATGTAGAAAGTTACAAACACTACCAGACCTAAGGTTTTATCAGAAAAAGAAAGGAATTCGCCGACATGGTGCTGTCGTCATACGACACAACACTGAATTTTTAAAGAAAATAGGAGCACATTCCCAAAACGAGAGTCACCTCAACCAATGGACATTGACAGTTCATCCCGATTCAGACAGCCCGTCCAACAAAAAAATTAAGGTTTCTGTTTTTATGAAAAACCTTCTAATCAGGTCATTAAAAGGATAAATCATATTTCACTAAATAATAGTGCTCCTACTCAAGAGGAATTCGAATATCGAACTACAGCTAAATCAGAGGCTGATGACATTACTGATGAAACTAATCAATATGATGATGTACATTTCTTAGGCACAGCTTCCTACTACCGTTTTTTGAACGAATGATAGCAGGCAGAATCTTATTGCTATCGCAGCTACTGTGTCAATAACAGGAGCTTCAAAGAATTATATTCAACCGTTAACCGAAAAACTGAACTCTGTTTAAAAGAAATGCCTTACGCATATTTTCAAAACCACAACTTTTTTATACTACCAAATCTGTAAATAGTTGATATGCTCTCAGCATTATTCACAGAATTATTGATGATCTGCTTCGGAAGCAAATTGGAAAATCATGCTACGTTTATGTAAATGATGTTATCATTTTCTTGAAGAGCACGGTGAACTATGTAAAATATAATATAATATATCGCATGGCTATTGCATAAACGCTATACTCCTGTTTCGCGAGAAAAGTCGCGATTTTTCAAAGAAAAAGTCGAGTATCTTGGATTAGTGGTCTCTAGAGGACACATTACAACAGAACCCAGAAAAAAAGAAACCAAAATTTGTATGCCAATTGTTTTATTTTCTCACAAAATATTTGTGAATGAATTAATTTTCATGTTTTAAATAAAATGATATTCGAATTAAACTAAAAAAGGATAGGAATGCAGAAAGGTGTAGCAGCGAATTGTTACGAAAAAGAACCTATAGTGTACCACACGAGCGCAAGCGACGTAATTGGAAAGGCAGTCGTGTTAAACAATTTTATATTGGCAGATATCGTCGACGAATTCATAATTGGAGTAGACTTTCTAGCGAATCAAAGATTCAAAATTGACATGGAGGACAGGATTATGACCTTTATAAATATCAAAGTGCCACTTATGTTCGGTTACGATAACATGAGTAATAACAACAGAGAGCCAGCAGTTTCCAACAAAAAAAGAAGCAGTTAATGGAGTTGGAATGGAATCGAACCATCCGCCACTGCTTTCAGCGTTGGTGATGGTCTATGGCGATTTATCGTAATGCCCTTTGGATTATGTAACGCTCCTGCTACCTTTAAGAGACTTAACTACCAGGTATTAATCGGATTACAGTGGAAGATCTGTTTGGTATAGCTCGACGATATTATCCTGTTGGGTTAAAGCTTTTAAGAACACCTCAAGAACTTACTAGTGGGTATGCAGAAGGAGGCGTTATGTCACAAGTCATTGACGGGCATGAGAAAGTGGTTGCGTATTTCAGCAAGATAATAAGCAATCCAGGGAGAATTTATTGTGTAACTCGAAGGGAATTACTGCCGCTGCATCAAACATTTTCACAAGTACCTTTAAAGCCATCGATTTCGGGTGAGAACAGATCATGCAGCATTAAATGGCTTTTACAATTCAGGACCCCAGAAGGATAGTTGGCACCTAGGATTGAGAGACTCCCAAGTTACGACTTCTTTATAGAATATCGCAAACGCAGTAGTCAGGGAAATGCGGATGAGATGTTCCCCCTACCCTGTAGTTTGCAATGCAGACACTACTCAAAGGCTGAGACTAAAGACATTATCGATGTCCAATTAATTGACTTTAACATCAAACTGAGATCCGGAGGGGCTACGGAAATGTCAGCAAGAAAATCCAGATTTGAAAAGTATAATAAATGCATTGAAGATGAATAACCGTCCAACGAGAGAAGAAATAGCTGCAGAAAGCCCAATCGCAAAGGCTTATTGGGCACAACTTAACGTTAGTGTCTGGCTGCTTGCATCACATATGGGGAAGCGAAGATAAGCAAAGCTTCCGAGCTTTGATGATTGTTTTGAAAATAGGAATTCCTTATAAGCCCAACGAGATGCACAACGATCCAAGTGGAGGATACATGGGTATCACTAAAACCGTTGATAAAGAATGATTTTATTGGATTGTTTGTCGTCAATGAGTAACGGAGTGGATCGCCAATTGTGTCGAGTGTATTGCTGCTTAAGGGGCGTGGTCCAGGAGTCATGGTCATATGAAGCGAATTACCACTGATGTGGCAGGTCAGTTAATTTGGCAACAAATGTGTTTTGGTCGTCATGGATTATTTCATCAAATGGCCAGACGTATAAGTAATTCCTAATTAAGAGGTAGGAACACTAGCGGCTGTATTCATCAACACTTGGGTAGGGAGATATGGTCTTCCAGTAGAATACATTCTGACCAAGAGAGAAATTTTGAATTAGCTCTAATTCAGGGGATGTGCCAGAAACAGGGTATGCGGAAAACCCGTACAAGAACATTTGAGGAAAGTTATGGTGAGACAGCACACCAACGTAAAGTGTGATTGGCAAGGACCATACCAGGTTATCAAGCGACTCAACGGTGTAGTGTATCGCATACAGACCATTTGAAGACCAAGGAATAAAATGAAGGTGGTTCATCTGGAACGGCTGCAGCGTTTGATACCGCAAATATGTCTAATCGGGACGATCAGACTTAGGTAGAAGGC